TCGGTCCAGCACTTGTCTAACCTGGGACACGTGGTCCTCCCACGTCTGGCTAAAGACATAGATGTCATCAATATATGCCACGGCAAAACTCTCCATTCCCCTCAGGAGCTGGTCCACCAGGCGCTGGAAGGTGGCCGGCGCTCCCTTGAGGCCGAAAGGCAGGGTCAGGAACTCATAGAGCCCCAGAGGGGTGATAAAGGCCGATTTCAGTCGGGCATCTGCATCCAGCGGCACTTGCCAGTAGCCCTTTGTAAGGTCCATGGTGGTGAGGTACCGAGCTCCCCCCCAACTTGTCTAGGAGCTCGTCCGGCCTGGGCATGGGGTAGGCATCAGATACAGTGATGGCATTGAGCTTCCGATAGTCCACGCAGAACCGGACCGACCTGTCCTTTTTGGGGACCAGCACCACCGGCGAGGCCCAAGGGCTGGCAGATGGCTGGATCACCCCCAAAGCCAGCATGTCCCGGACCTCTCTTTCCAGGTCCTGAGCAGTTTTCCCTGTGACTCGGAAGAGGGAGCATCTTATCGGCGGGTGCGACCCTGTCTGCACCCGGTGGACAGTCAGATTAGTGCGTCCAGGCTGGTTGGAAAACAGCTGTCGGTACGGACGCAGCACCCCCCTGACCTCAGCTTGCTGGGCAGGGGTTAGCTGATCCGAGAGGGGGATTGTTTCCAGGGGGGAACCAGCTCCGGTCCCAGGGAATAGATCTACTAAAGGGTCATCTCCCTGCTCCTCCCAATGTCCACACACGGCCCACACCACATTCCCCCTGGCATAATATGGCTTCATCATATTCACATGGTACACCCGGCGGTGGTGCGCCCGGTTCGACAGCTCCACCACATAGTTTACCTCATTGAGCTGCTTGACGACCTTGAAAGGGCCCTCCCAGGCGGCCTGTAGTTTGTTCTTTCTCACGGGGATGAGAACCATCACCTGATCCCCGGTGGTGTAGGCACGGGCCCGCGCCATGCGGTCATACCAGACCTTCTGCTTCTTCTGGGCTCTGGCCAGACTCTCCCTGGCCAGGCCCATGAGTTCAGCCAGTCTCTCTCGGAAGATCAGGACATACTCCACCACTGACTCTCCATCGGGAGAGGCCTCCCCCTCCCACTCATCTCTCCTCAGGTCCAGGAGGCCCCTCACCCTCCTGCCATATAACAGTTCGAAAGGCGAAAATCCGGTCGACTCCTGGGGCACCTCCCTGTACGCGAACAGCAGGTGAGGCAAGTACTTGTCCCAATCCTGCGGGTGCTGGTTCATAAAGGTTTTCAGCATCATCTTTAGCGTCCCGTTAAACCTCTCCACCAGCCCATTGGACTGGGGGTGATAAGCTGAGGCCCAGTCGTGCCGGACCCCACATTTCTCCCACAAGCACCGGAGCAGGGCCGACATGAAGTTGGATCTTTGGTCTGTCAAGACTTCCTTGGGGAACCCCACTCGGCTGAAAATGGTCAGGAGCGCATCGGCCACGGTGTCTGCTTCAATGGAAGCTAAGGGCACTGCCTCGGGGTAGCGGGTGGCAAAATCTACCACCACCAGAATGTATTTCTTCCCCGACCGGGTCGTCTTGCTGAGAGGCCCCACGATGTCCATGGCCACCTTCTGGAAAGGCTCCTCTATGATGGGCAAAGGTCTCAAAGCCGCTTTCCCCTTGTCCCGGGCCTTCCCCACCCTCTGACAGGGGTCACAGGATCGGCAATACTGCCGGACCGTGGTAAAGACCCCGGGCCAGTAAAAGTTCTGTAGCAACCTCTGCCGGGTGCGCCGGATTCCCTGGTGCCCTGCGAGGGGGATGTCATGGGCCAGGTACAGGAGCTTGCGGCGATACTTCTGGGGGACCACCAGCTGCCTCCTGATCCCACAGGACTCTACTTCCCTTGTGGGAGCCCATTCTTGGTACAGGAACCCCTTCTCCCACAGGAACCTCTCCTGGCAGCCTCTCCTCATGGTCCGTCCCACACCGAGGTCGGCCAGGTCCCTGAGCTTCCGCAAGGAGGGATCTTTCCTCAACTCGGCCTGGAACTCAGAGGCTGGGGAAGGGATGGGGCCCGGTTCCCCCTCAGTGGCCAGGTCTGAGGCCTCCGCCTCTCTGAGCCGTGCCCCTCGGCGCTCCCTCCCCACCAGGGAAGGGTCCTGCGCCTCCGGTGTGGTACCCTCCCCGAGGTCAGGGTGCAGTGCCCCTCGCCGGCTCTGGCTACGGGTCACAACCAGGGCAGTCTGGGGCTTGCTTGGCCAGTCCTCTAGGTCTCCCCCCATCAAAACTTCAGTGGGCAAATGGTGGTATACCCCCACATCCTTGGGGCCCTCCTTGGCCCCCCATTTCAGGTGTACCCTTGCCACGGGCACCTTAAATGGGGTCCCGCCCACCCCTGTCAGGGTCAGGTAGGTGTTGGGCACCACCCAATCTGGGGCCACCACCTCGGGCCGGGCCAGCATCACTTCCGCGCCCGTATCCTGGTATCCATTGACCTTCCTCCCATTCACCTCCAGAGGAACAAGGCACTGTCTCCGGAGGGACAGCCCTGCGCCCACCCTGTAAACCGAGCACCCTGAGTCCAGAGCCTCCAGCCCTCTGGCGGAGCTGGCCTGGGGTACTCTTCCCTCCTGCGCAGGTGGTAAACTGGTAGCCCCCCTTTCCTGGGTCGTCTGCCCCTCGTCCAGCTGAGTCCCTACCCAGTTAACCCTGGGTAGGTTGGGTCTGCTCAGTTTGTCCCTGAGCCCGGGGCACTGGGATCGTACGTGGCCTCTCTGGCCACAGTGATAGCAGCTCAGGTCACGTTGGTCCCCTCGAGCGGGTCGGAGGGGCCCGACGCCAGGCGTTCCCCTTTGGAGGGGATTCTCCCTATTTCCCCGCTGGGAGGCCCCCTGGTGACTCTCTCTCTGCATCGGGGGGGGCCTGTCCTTTTGGGACTCCTCCCGGCTACCCGCTGAATGACTGTTTGCAAACTCGTCGGCCAGCTGCCCTGCGTGCTGGGGGTTCTCTAGCTTTTTGTCCACCAACCACAGCCTCAGGTTGGAAGGGCACTGTTCATACAGTTGCTCCAGTACGATTAGGTCAAGCAGGTCCTCTTTAGCTTGGGCCCCAGCTGTCCACTTGCGGGCATACCCCTGCATCCGTTGACCAGTTGTAGGTAGGTGACCTCAGGTGTTTTACGCTGACTCCGGAACCTTCTCCGGTACATCTCGGGGGTCAGCCCAAACTCACGGAGCAGGGCCTGTTTGAATAGTTCATAGTCCCCTGCCTATGCCCCTGTCATTCGGCTGTACACCTCCACGGCTTTGGGGTCCAGTAAGGGGGTGAGAAACTGGAGCCTGTCTGCAGGGTCAACCCTGTGCATCTCGCAGGCATTCTCAAAGGCCGTCAGGAAGCTATCTATGTCCTCCCCCTCCTTACGCTGGGCCAGGAAGCACTTATCAAAGCTCCTTGCAGTCTTGGGTCCCCCCTCACTCAGCGCAGCCAGGGCCCCACTGCTCCTTAGCCTGGCCAGCTCCAGTTCATGCTGTCTTTGTTTCTCCTTCTCCTGACGTTCCCTCTCCTTCTCCTCCCGCTCATGCTGATGTTGTTTCTCCTCATGTTGATGTTGTTTTCATGATCCTCCAGCTCCCTCATTTCATCTCCCTCTCCCATTCCAGCCGCCTCCGCTCCAGGGATGGGGAGCTCCGCCGGGAGGATCCCCTGCTGGGTGCTGGGGTCAGGGTGCCCTCGGTATTCGCTGGGCTTCCCCCAACCCCTTCCCCAGGCACAGGTAGGAAGGATCTTGGGATGTCCTCGGCAGCAGTCTGACCCCTCCCAGCGCGGTCAGGCCCCAGGGCCCACACTGCGTCTGCCGGGCGGCTTCCCTCAGGGACAGGGATTGGGTCATCCAAGCGATCCCTCTCCTCCAACTGGGCAATCAGCTGTTCCTTGGTGGACCTCCCAGTGCACAGCCCCCTCTGCCTGCACAGCTCCACCAGGTCACTCTTCAGGCGTTTAGCGTACAGCTCCCTGCTGGCCACTCGCAGGCCTGGGCAGCTTTCTACAGTTTCCAGGAAAAGCCCTTAGTGTGCCAGTCCTTCTTGAGGTCACCACCTCTTTGCCAGGGTCGAGCTGCAAACTCCTCCGCCCCTGGGACGGCTCGCTGCAATCCCCCGGGGGACCCTGTTACTGCAAAAGTCCTTCTCTCTGGTCATACACTCCCAGGGGTTAACTGCCCCCTGAAACCATCTCTCTCTGAATCTTCAGCACACCCGGTCCCCGTCAATTCCCCTTCATTTTACTGTTCCCCAGTCACTTACTGCAGGAAGTGCCGTTCATGGGGTGCAGTAAATCCCACCGCTGACACCAGTTGTCACGGAGTGTGGGGGAGTCCAGGCCCTGCACCCCTCTTCCTGGGATCCACGGTGACTCTCAGCCAGCCAGTAAAACAGAAGGTTTATTGGACAACAGGAACACAGTCCAAAACAGAGCTTGTGGGTACAAGCAGGACCCCTCAGTCAACTCCTTCTGGGGGAGCAGGGAGCTTAGACCCCAGCCCTGGGGTTCCCTGCGTTCCTCCACCCAGCCCCAAACTGAAAATAACCCCCCCCAGCAGGCTCTCTCCTGCAGCCTCTGTTCACATTCCTGGGCAGAGGTGTTACCTCCCCCTCCGCCTCCTGGCTCAGGTGACAGGCTCTCAGGTCTCCCATCCCCAGGGCACATTCCCAGGTCAACACAACCCCCTCCCTGCTGCGTCACATCGTCACACCCCACCCTTCTCCTGCAGGGCACAGGCAGCTCCTGCTTTTCTGGGCCAGAGCCCGGCTCCGGCTTTGACCGGCAGCCGGGGTCTCCTTAGCAGGGAAGAGTCCCCAGAGCTGGAGGAGCAGTGGGGAAGGAGGGCTGGGGAGCGGCAGCCGGGCTGTGGGAGGCCCGTGGGCTCTGGGCCAGGTGGCTGGGCTGCAGACGGCCGGAGGAGCTGGTGCAGGACGGAGCACGGCCCAGTGCTGCAGTGTAACCCTCCTCTTGTCTCTGTTTCAGACCCTGGCGCGCCAGGCGGTGGCATAGCATGGGCGAGCCCTGGCCGAGGCATGGGCAGCGCTAAGGAGCCAGGGAGCCTGCAGCTGCTCGCACAGGAGGGGCCGGCTGAGGACGGGTGCTCTCCGGGCCGCCAGCAGACGAGCGGCTACCTCCGCAACTCCCGCTGTGGGGCCGGCGCGCTGGCCATGAGGAACTGCTGCGGCACTGAGCCCGGCGGCCCCGAGCCCGGCAGCCAAGGCAGCACAGAGAGCCGAGCTGAGGCCCCCGCCATGGCCCAGCAGTCTGAGCCGGAGCCGGCGGCTGGGGGCCGGGCCTTGGCTCTCAAGGGCCCCGGCGCGGGAGCGGGGCCATTGGAAAAGGGGGACGAGCCAACGCCTGTGGCTGTGAGCTGCTTGGGACAGAACGGCGAGCGGAGCTCGGGCCCCTTGGTGCTGCCTGATGGCTCTGTCATCCCCCAGGGCCCTCCAGCGGAGGAGGGCGCTGCCGTGGCCAGCCCTGGGCCGCTGTCTCCGCGCCTCCTGCCGGAGCCGGGCCTCAAGGGGCACAGCAGGGACCCAGAGAGTGCCCCGGCCGCTCTGAAACACGTTGTATTCCTTGAACCAGACAACACAGACCCTGAGGCAGATGGTGCCGGAGCCACCGCGGTCAGTCCTGAGCTGGGCCCGGTGCCTCCCATGTGCCCGCAGGACCGAAGCCAAGAGCAGCCCGGGGCCTCCGAGGGAGCCGTGTCCCGTTGGAGCGTGGGAGCCCCCGGCACAGCGCCACTGTCCGATGGCGGCCTGGGCGCGCCCTGTGGAGACGCCGGTGGGAAAGCACCCGCATCTCTGGCAGAGCCCAAGGCCCAGCTGGGACCTTCGGCTGCCCCAGGGGCAGGGGGCAACGGGGACAAGGCACGTCCTTCTGCTCCGGAAGGTACCAAGGACTCCACCCCGGGAACAGAAGCAGCCTCAGGCCCGGGAGCAAGGCTGGATGCAGGCACGATCCCGTCAGGCCAAGCCAAGGAGTCCAGTCCCCTTGCCCCTCTCTCCATCCAGAAAGCCGGGCCAGAGGCCCCCTCTGCTGCTGCTCCCATCAAATCAGGAGCGAGCCGGGCGGCTCCAGCTGAGGCCAGAGGGGGAGCCGGCCCGCCCCAGGGCACTGCGGAGGGAAGCCCAGCTCAGGAGCAGTGGGGAGCAATGGGGATGGAGGTGGGGCCTGGGGAGGAGGCCGCTCAGGAGCCCCGGACTGTGGAGCTGCTCTCCAAGACCTACTCGTTTGAGGTCACTCCTCCCCCGCAGGATGCCGGGACTCAGGACGCTGGGACGCAGGTCGGCAGCCGAGTGTCGCTGGTGTCTGTGGCCATCAGCCCCATAAACCCCCCGGACGGGTCCTCGGCCTTCACCTTCCACAGCCGGGGCCAAGGCCCCTTGGGCCTGAAGAGCCCGGGCCCGGAGCTGAAGCCCTCCAAGAAGGATGCGGAGATGCAGGTCTCGATCCCAGTGGAGACCAGGTCTGTGGCCACGGGGCCCATGACGCCGGTGGCCAAGTCTCCCCAGGCACCCTACCCCGAGGTGCACGTGAAAGGGGCGCAGGAAGAGCCGTCCGAGCCCATCCGGGAAGTCAGCTGGGACGAGAAGGGGATGACATGGGAGGTGTACGGTGCCACCATGGAGGTGGAGGTGCTGGGCATGGCCATCCAGAAGCACCTGGAGAAGCAGATCGAGGAGCACGGCCGGCAGGTGGTGATGACGCCGCAGAGCACCCGGGCCAGCTCCATCAAGGGGGCCCCACAGAAGGGGGAAGTCAAGCGGCAGCCCAGCATGCTCCGGGCGCTTCTGCAGAGCATGCGCCGGCCCCGCTGCTGCTCCCGGCCCGGTCCCGCCACGGAGTGAGGCCACCGCTCGCGCCCTGGCGGGCTGGGAACGGCAGCGCAGCCCACGCCCTGTGGTTTCTCAGGCAATCCCGGGGGCTGGGGTCTTGCCCCTCTGGCCCCGGGCTCAGCAGCTCCAGGCACTTGGACCCCACGGTCTCCTGCTCACCCAGGCCGGACACTGGCCAGACTGCCCCTCCCCGAGCTGCACGCCTGGGCAGGGTGCGGCCTGCAGAGACTTCAGGCCCCAGCATGCAATGCTCCCCCCAGCAATGCCTGCTTCCATTGAGATGGAGCACTGCATGCTGGGACACGTAGTCCCCACAAGCTGCACCTTGGTCTGCAGGAGGGGTTGGCTGTGATCTGGGCCCAGGGTGCGGCTGATGCTGGGCAATGTCTGGGCACCCCTGGGTGGAGGCTGGGATTTGTACAGTGAAGCTCGTGATGGGACGGCCAGACAAAACGCGGAAGGGGTGGGGGTGGTTGCGGGCCAGCCCTCGGGAGCATGTCTGGCAGGGGGCCGGCTCCCCGCCTTCCCCCTGGGTCACGAGCTGCATTTCCCAAAGCACAGAACAGCACTGGCTACCTTAAAGGCCTACAGCCCAGGTCCTAAGGTCTGATTCCCCGGACAGCACCCAGTGCCCGGGGCTGAGAGTCCCGCTGCCCCTTGTGCTTTCCGGGGAGACTCCAGCTTCCCGTCAGCCTGGGCAGCTGGAACCAGCCATGCTCTGCTGCCCTGCAAAGCTGCAGCCCTGCCTCCCCCGCCCAGCCCCCGAGCCACGCGCCTGCTGCGCCAGGCTCCCCGGGGAGGTGGTGGAAGCTTGGCAGTCAGGCTGTGCCCTGCCTGGAGGCAGGGGCGAGCTGGGCTGGCCTGGGATGGCTTTGCCAGCGCTCATGTATTGGACTGTGGTTTGGAGAGACAAACTCCAGCCTCACTCCGGTTCCTGAGAGGCCCCCGGCTCTGCAGTGCAGCCCAGCCGCTCTCACCGACTCCCACCCTCGACAGAGCTCAAATCTTTGCAGGCGGGTGTCCTCCCCACGTGGCACAGGGCTGCTCACAGGCTCAGGCATGGTGCGTCCCTGCTGCAGGTTTAACAGCCCCTGGAACCGCCCTGGCTCAGCCCAGCCCACTGGCCGCTCCCGCCCGCTGCCAGACGCTCAGGGCGTGCCGGGGTGGTGCCAGGGCACACACCGTGTAGCTCTGCCTGCAGACGGCACCGGCCCCGGCGGCAGGGTTCAGGCCACCCAACTGTCTCCTACCAAAGGGCTTGTGAGTGGGGAAGCGCCGAGCCCTGAGCCCCCAGCGAGAGCTGCGGAGAGGAGAGCAGCTCGGCTGCAGGCCTTAGCCCTTGGGCCATGTGAAATGGCACCTGCCAGCCCCTGCTCTGTGCACGGAGCGGCGTCTGCCACCGTCAGACCAGGAGGTGCAGGGTCCCAGCAGCTGGGTTTCCTGGGGGCAGTTTCAGGAGGCCCCTGGGAGTCCAGCCCAAACTGAACTCATGGCTTACAGCCAAGCAGCTGGAGGGGCCAGTGGGGCTGGGCCAGGCCTGTGTGGCCGGAGGGGCTAGTGCTGCCAGGCCCAATAACGGACCCCCCAGGCTCTGCTTGCTGCCTGGACATAGCGACCCACCGGCCCAGAGCTGGGAGTGGACGCTGCACCCAGGGAGCAGCTGGGTGAGGGCAGGGCCCAGCGGGACGGCGCCCGTGGGGGCCTTTGTTCTCATGTTGCCAGTCAGTCAAGGCGGGTTCCTCCCGCTCCCCCTTGGCTCAGCAGTGACCTGGTAGACAGGCCCTGGCTCGTGTGCTCCGTTCTCGGCGGGATCCCAGCTCGTCCCGCACCAGGAGCCAGGTGCCCAGCGGGCTCCACAGAGCGTGGGGGCTGGGGAGGTCTTGGAGTCCAGGCCAAGATGTCCAGGCCACAAACCAAGCCAATTGCCTGAGAAACCCAGGCCACTGGGCAATGTTCATGTCCTGCCTGTGCGTGTTGCTGCTTGGGCATATGGGGTCCCTGCGTGTATGTGTGTCCCTGCGTGTGTGTCCCTGTGTGTGTGCGTGTCCCTGCGTGTGCGTGTCCCTATGTGGGCATATGGGGTCCCTGCGTGTATGTGTGTCCCTGCGTGTGCATGTCCCCATGTGTGTGCGTGTCCCTGCGTGTGCGTGTCCCTATGTGGGCATATGGGGTCCCTGCGTGTGTCACGGAGTCCCTGGGCGATGCTCTGGAACTGCTCCCCATGAAGTCAGTCAGGACTCTGGGGTAGTCGCCTTTCTGTGAGCAGCCTGTCTGCAGGACACCCAGCTCACACAGCTTCCACCTTCCTGGGTCTGACCTCGGAGCATTCAGCATCCTCTGCCTCTCCGTGTGCTTCCCCAGCGAGTCCGCTCAGGCGGGGCTCCTGGGGGCCAGAGGTCCTGCACCCAACGCAGTCGACGGACTCTCAGCCAGCCAGTAAAACAGAAGGTTTATTAGACACAGAACATTCTAAAACAGAGCTTGCAGGTCAGAGAAGGCCCCTCCTGGGTCCATTTTGGGGGCGTAGCCAGACAACCACGTCTGCACTTCACTCCATTCCCACCACCCCAAACTGAAACTCCCCTCCACCCCCTCCTCTGGCTTTTTCCTTTCCGCCAGGTGTCCCTATTCCTTTTTCCAACCCTTTAGCTCTCACCTTGCAGGGGGAAGGGCCCAGCCATCGTTGCCAGGAAACAGGGTTCGCTTCTCTTTCCGACCCCTGCCACACTCCCTCTAGCTTCAATGACATTCTACCCCCCCCTAATACTTAAGAACTGCCTAGGGAAACTGAGGCCCCCACACTTTCAGAGGAAACATTAAAACATCCCACTCCACCCCCCCTTCAATCGAACTGACGGGTCACTTAGCTGACCTGGGTTGCCAACTTCCCATGGATGCCCACCTCCCATCCTTGGAGGAGTTACACAGGCCCTTCCATTTTCACACCCTCCCTTAGTCAGGTTCGTCACCAGGCCCATGTGGGAAGTTTATGCGCCCATGCCCTTTGGCCACCCCAAGATGCCCCCATTACCTCACCTTCTCTCCCACTGAGTCAGGCCTGGCCCAGAAACTCCACACAGACATATAGGTTGGGTCAGGAGTGACCTTCCACTCCCCAACCATCTCTGACGTCTGTGGCTTGGGACCCAGCAAGGACTAGACACAGGTTTTAGGGTCCCCCTGGTTCAAATCGTCAGCCTCTCAAAGGCAGTGAGGCCCACACCCCTCCTTAACCAGGGCAATTTAGTCTCGAGGTTCCCTGCGGAACTGGCCCCGGACTACCCCACTCACCCGCCCCTAGCTCTCGCCCCCCACCCCTTATTCCTCTTCCCTCTTTTCTGCTTCTCCCAGGTCCTCTTCCTTCAGACTCGCCCAATCCCGTCCCCCCCCCATGGGAACCGGTGAAGACCCTGTCTGGTCGGGGCAGATCTTGGGGTTGCACTACTCCAGCTGCTCCCAGATCCTGCTATAGCCCCAGTTGGGGTCAGGAATCTGTTCCTTAGAGCAGTCATCCTCCTCCACTGCACGATTAACTCTGCTTTGGTGAACTTTCCAACGCTCAACCCTCTCTTTTTGCACAGGGTTACAATGTCCTTCTTAAGGAGAAGGTGACAGGCCATCACCCTCTCCCAGTTGTTGTGGACTCACAGGTCCTGTTTCTCAGCTCCCCACGGTTTCCAGGAGAACCCCTAGTGTGCCAGCCCTTCTCGAGGTCACCACCTCTTTGCCAGGGTCGAGCTGCGACTCCTCCGCCCCTAAACTCTCATGCAGTCCCCAGGAGGATCCCATTACTGCACAGTCCTTCTGCTGGTCACACACTCCCAGGGTTAACCGCCCCCGAAACCGCCCTTTCTGAGCCTTCAGCAGGCCTGGTCCTCGGCAATCCCCCTTCGTGTTACTGCTCCCCAGTCACTTACTGCAGGAAGCGCCATCCACGGGGTGCTACACCCACCACTCCACCAGTTGTCACGGAGTCCCTGGGCGATGCTCTGGAACTGCTCCCCATGAAGTCAGTCAGGACTCTGGGATAGTCGCCTTTCTGTGAGCAGCCTGTCTTCAGGACACACCGCTCACCCAGCTTCCACCTTCCTGGGTCTGACCTCGGAGCATTCAGCATCCTCTGCCTCTCCGTGTGCTTCCCCCAGCGAGTCCGCTCAGGCGGGGCTCCTGGGGAAGCCAGAGGGTCCTGCACCCCAACTTCGCAGTCAGACGTGACTCTCAGCCAGCCAGTAAAACAGGAGGTTTATTAGATGACAGGAACATGGTCTAAAACAGAGCTTGCAGGTGCAGAGAACGGGACCCCTCAGCTGGGTCCATTTTGGGGGACAGTGAGCCAGACAACCACGTCTGCACTTCACTCCATGTCCCAGCCAGCCCCAAACTGAAACTCCCTCCAGCCCCTCCTCCTCTGGGCTTTGTTCCTTTCCCGGGCCAGGTGGTCACCTGATTCCTTTGTTCTCCAACCCTTTAGCTCTCACCTTGCAGGGGGGAAGGGCCCAGGCCATCAGTTGCCAGGAAACAGGGTGTCGGCCATTCTCTGTGTCCAGACCCCTGCACACACCTGCCCTCTAGGGCTCTGCAATGATCATACATGCTTACCCCACCCCCTAGATACTTAAGAACTGCCTAGGGGAAACTGAGGCACCCCCACACTATTCAGAGGAAACATTAAGAACAGTCCCACTTCGTCACAGCGTGTATGTGTGTCTCTGCGTGTGTGTCCCTGTGTGTGCATGTCCCTGCGTGGGCAAATGTGGGTCCCTGTGTGTATGTGTCTCTCTGCGTGTGCATGTGTCTGGGTGTCCCTGTGTGTGTGTGTCCCTGCGTGTGTGCGTGTCCCTGTGTGGGATATGGGGTCCCTGCGTGTATGCGTGTCCCTGCGTGTGCGTGTGTCTGGGTGTCCCTGCATGTGTGTCCCTGCGTGTGCGTGTCCCTGTGTGGGATATGGGGTCCCTGCGTGTCTGCGTGTCCCTGCGTGGGGGCGCAGCTGTGCATCCCTGAAGTCCATGTGGTTTTCAGCCACAAAGGGGTTTGTTGGCACGTTTCATGTTTGGGGTTTTTCAGGGGGAGATGTTATTGAACTGTGTTTGACTTTTCGGGCTTTTTAAAGGACTCATGCGGCGGCATTTCCCTCCGGAGCCGCTCGCCCTGGTGGCGTGAGGAGCCGTTCCCTTTTCTTTCCTCTTCTACAAACTGCCTTGGTGGTGGGATTTTGTGGTTTTTCTCTGGAAACAACCCAGGCAGGCCGAGCCCAGCTGAGCGTCAGTGTGGTGGTGTGTGTGGAAAGTCACAGCTTCTCGGACACACCATGGCCGGAGCTGGGGACACCACCCACCCCTGCTGCTCCGACATTCCCCCTGGCGAAGCCCACGCCGCAGAGCCTGCTGGGGGTTCCTGTGTCAAGCCCTCCCGCCCCCGCCTGCCCCGGCAGAGCGAGCCCCCAGCACAGGCTGCTTGGACTTCTTGCCCTCCCTGGTGCAGCTCATGGAAGCGGCCTGAGCCAGATCTGCTGAGCGGGAGTGCGGGCGGGCGCGGGAGCGCAGGCTGCACCGGGGGAGCTGATCCTGGGGCTGGTGGGGATCGGTGCCCTGAGCCTGCTGCATGAGGCAGCTCCTGCTCCACACAGGGAACCTCAGCACCAGCCCCCTGGCACCTGCCCAGGTCCATACAGCTGGGGGCCACTGGCTGTCTGTGGGAAAGGAGCAGAGAGGTGCCTGGCTCCATTGCACCATATCCCCCCCATCCCCCCCCGTGATGCAGGAATGGCTGGGGATTGGCCCAGGCAGGAGGGGGCCAGAGAAAGACGCAGAGCCAGGGTGGGCTGTGGTAACAAGGACCCAGGCTGCTTCTCTCTCTGGGCTGGGTGCCCCTCAGGACGCGCCCTGCTGAGCCAGCGGGCCCTGCCCGGGTGGGAGTGAGCAGGGCTCAGGCCCAGCGTGGGGCGTGGCCTGGTGCAGGTGGGCATGGCAGGAGTGTCTGCCCCCCTGCTTGTTCTGAGAGTCACATCCCCGCAGTCCTGCTGCTGCCTCTCCCTAGTGCCCTGGAGGGTGACGGGCCAGCTGGCGGGGGACCTGGCCCTATGAACCCTGGGGCCCAAAGGGCAGCGGGTGCTAGGTGCCCAGTTTGCATGGCAGACGCCTTGGAGCTCACCCCTCCAATGTGTCCTAATGGAGGCCCTGCCTGGGGGGAAAGGGGGGGCAGAGGGCACTGCTTTGCCCTGCAGGAGGCTCCTGGGCACTGGGGTGCAGCTGCAGGGTGGCTTGGAGGCGGGTGCCTGCTGTGGCTGGCACCGGGGCTGGGAGCATCCCCACACCGGGAAGCAGGTGGTGCAATGGGGGGGCTCTACTCACATGCCTCCCTTACCCTGCTGTGTCTCTCACTCAGGGGCCCACCTGCCCCATTGGACGGCACCTGCCCAGGCCATAGCCCAGCACGGGGGCCCTGTGCCCGAGGTGCCCCCAGCAGCGCTGCCCAGGCCATGTGCAAAGCCAGGTGGTAGCAATGGAAGTCAGTGTCAATCACGTGGCTTTCCTGGCCACTCAGCCTGCAGGATACCCTGGCCTGCCCCAGCCCCGGTAATGGGTGTGTCCCTGGGCCCTTGGGCTCTGGCTTGGGGGGCGGGGAGCCATGTGCCCCCAGGGGAGAGCCCATCACTTTCCTGCCTCTCCAGCCCATCAGCACGCAGGGATCACTCACTGGGCTGAAGTGCACCTTTTCGGCCAATCAGTGTACAGGATTCCCAGGCAGTGAGGAAGCACCTGATCCCCACAGAACAGTCCTGATTGGCTGGGGAGAGGCATATTATAGCTCCCACTGGCTGCAGTGTTGGCTCAAACAGCTGGCGGGGGGAGGGGGATGCCCCCCTGGGCCCTGGCGCGCCCCATGGTGCCCCAGCTCTCAGTGATCCAGGCTTGCCCCCAGGCTGCCAGGCGCAGCTGCTCGGGGCAGTGTCCACCCCGTTATGAGCACATAACTCACCCCAAGTGCAAGGGGGGAGCAGACGTTGCCGCCCTGCACCTAGCCTGGCCAGCGCACAGGTGCCTTGTGGCCCTGCTGGGGGGCAGCACAGGGTGGGTTAGGTGATGGCAGAGCTGGCAGTGGGGCACTAGAATGGGTCAGAGGTGGGGGGAGCATGGGTCAGAGCTGGCCCAAGCCATTAGAGCCCCGTGCCGGGCGCCTTCCCCCAGCCATGTGCCCTCCTTGCTCCGCCAGCCCTCGCTGTCCTGCTGCCTCCAGCCTATGCCATGGCCTGGCACTGCTCATCATGCCACGGGCAGGGGCATTCAGTGGCAGCCCCATGGGCTGTGCCTGGCACAGGGGGCTCTCAAAGCTCTTGGCTCCTGTTAAG